ATTTGGGTAACCTATTTCCACCCGTGTTGTACCCGGTTACACGTTCACGCTTTTCTCATTTTGCCCAAAATTGCACAGGGTAACCGGTTATCCTCTATGCCGTACCCGGTTACACCTGCTGCAAAGTTCAAAAATCTGCAAATTTGCAGGTTACGAAAATCCATATTTTAAAACCAAAATCTCCAACATTTCAACCAAAATAGTATCTTCTAATTACATTAATTATTCATCAACGTTTCCTATAAATTTCATTCAATATTCATCATCAAATTTCAACAATAACACACAAAATGCATCAAAGAATTCATCAATGGAAAAAGTCTCAGTCAAGCAAAAATAGAGAGAATCAAAAATACAAACTCATGGGACCTAAACACTTATCATACCCCATTGTTATGAAACCCATTATAATGTTAGAATTTCACCCTTACCTTATATTTTAGTCGATTCTTGACTCCTATGGTGAACCTTCTTGTCCTAGCTTTTTCCTCTTCTACGATCTTCTCTATTCTTTTTTATGTTGTTTTTTCTCTTCTCTGTTCTCACTCTTATTTTATTCTAAGGACTCCTAAATAATAATACCAACATTGCCCTTCCCAATTAAATAAATAATTATCTAATTAAATATAAAATAATAATAATTCTATTTAATTATTATATTATAATATTTAAATCTAATATTTTAATCTAAATAATACTAATAACTATTTATCTCTCTACACCTCATGTTTCTACAATTTTGGCCATACAGCCCCATTATCCCAACTCCAATAATTCCTAAGACTTCTAATTCCCAATAAAATACATCACAAATATAATACATCATCTAATTAATTAAATAAAATAGTTCAACAAAATCGAGATGTTACAACTCTCCCCCACTTAAAATATTTTCGTCCTCGAAAATTACCTGATACAAATAACTCTGGATAAGCCTGTCGCATCTTGCTCTCTAACTCTCATGTCGCATTCTCTCCAGCAGCTCCTTCCCAAAACACTTTCACAAGAGTGATCTCTTTGCCCCTCAACTTCTTTATTTCACGACCCTCGATTCTCAACAGGTACGGTTTCAACAGTGAGATTATCCCACACTTGTACCTCATCCATCAGGGTTACATGCGACGAAACAGAAATAGACTTCCAGAGTTACGATACATGAAACAAATCATGCAAATTTGACAAATTAGGTGGAAATGCCACTCTATACGCAATAGTCTCACTTTTTTTGAAATTTGATACGGACCAATAAATCGAGGAATCAACTTCCTTGACTTCAAAGCGCGACCTACACCAGTTACTGGAGATACTCTCAAGAATACATGATTGCCCTCTTGAAACTCAAGATTCGTCCTCCTCGTATCATGGTAACTCTTTTTCCTACTCCGCGAAGCGTTCATCTTTTCTCAAATTAATTTCATTTTCTCTGTAGTTTCTTGCACAATTTCATATCCGAGCACTACACTTTCACCAGATTCGTACCAACACAAAGGTGTTTTTCACCTCCGACCATAAATGCCTCGAAGGGTGCCATGCCGATACTGGAGTAAAAACTATTGTTATGAGTGAATTCAATCAATGGAAGATAACTAGCCCATGTGCCTCCCTTCTCAAGAGCACAAGCTCTCAACAAATCCTTTAACGACTAAATAGTCTTCTCTGTCTGACCATCTGTTTGCAGGTGATACACAGAACAGAATCTCAGCTTAGAACCCAACACATCTTGTAGACTCTTCCAAAAATCAGAAGTAAATCTTAGGTCTCTATCAGATATAACACTTGACGAAATACCGTGTAGCTTCACAATTACACGGATATAAATTTTCGCCAACTTTGGTACAAAAAAATTGATATTAATCGAAATAAAATGATCTGATTTTGTTAGCCTATCAACAATCACCCAAATCATATCATGTCCTCTTGAATTACTTGGCAGCTCTGTCACAAAGTCCATCGATGTGTTATCCCACTTCCACTCTGGAACTTCTAATGGTTTCAACAATCCTGCAGGTTTCTGATGTTCGACTTTCGACTTTTGACAAGTCAAACACGCATACACGACTCGTGCCACATCTTGTTTCAATTCAGACCACCAAAATAACTTCTTTAAGTCGTGATACATTTTAGTAGCTCTCAGATGAATACTCAAACTACTCCTATGACTTTCTTCCAGAATCATCTTTTGCATCTCAACGTCATCAGGGATACAAAATGTCTCAAAATCTCAGCACACCTTGGACATCTATTTTAAAATCACTATTCTCAGACCGGTTACTCCCGACCATCAAGTCTACCAACTTCACATCTAACTTCTGAACCTCTTTAATATTATCTAAGAAATCATTGTTAATTTTCATTCCCAACATCACACTCTGTAGTGTCATTTCGCATACAAAACTCATGTCTCTGAGTTGTTCGATCAATTTTAATTCTCTGACTGTCATAGAAAACATATATAACAATTTCCTACTTAAGACATCTGCTACGACATTAGCTTTACTAAGGTGGTAATTCAAGCCAAAGTCATAGTCTTTCAATAACTCTAATCACCTTATATGCCTCATGTTTAATTCCTTTTGATCAAATAAATACTTTAAGCTCTTATGATCAATAAACACTTCAAATCTGAAACCATAAAGATAATGTCTCCAAATCTTTAGTACAAACACCACTACAGCTAATTCAAGATCGTTAGTAGGATAATTCCTTTCATGAATCCTCAATTGTCTCGACGCATAAGCTATTACTTTATCATTCTGCATAAGCACACCACCTAAACCCAATTTAAAATCATCGCAGTACACCACAAACGATTATTTAGGATTAGGTAATATAAGAGTCGTCGTCAATTTCTTCTTTAGATCAACAAATCTTTCTTCACATTTGATGTCCCACACAAATGCTCTGCTTTTACAAGTTAACCGAGTTAGTGGAAGTGCTAAGTTAGAAAAATTCAATAAACCTTCTGTAATAATCAGCCAAGCCCAAAAAACTTCTAATTTCTGTAACTGACTTCGAAACTTCCCACTGCAACACTGTGTCTATCTTGGATGGATCTACAACAATACCATCACCTGAAATAACACGACCAAGAAAATTAACCTTCTCCAATCAAAATTCACATTTTGACAGCTTTACATACAACTTCTTCTCTTTCAACACTTGCAATACAACTCGCAAATGCTCAACATATTCTTCTTCCAATTTAGAATATATCAAGATATCGTCATAGAATACTACTGCAAATTGATCCAAATAAATGCAAAAGATACGATTCAATACTCCATAAACACTCTCGGCGCGTTAGTAACACCGAAAGGCATCACTGAATACTCATAATGTCCATATCGAATTCTAAAAGATGTCTTCTGAATATCTTCATTCTGGACTGGTGATAACCTGATCTCAAATCAATCTTAGTAAACACGCGTGCACCCACCAATTGATGCATCAAGTCATCTATTCTCGAAAACGGATACTTGTTTTTTATTGTCACTTTATTCAACTGTTGATAATCAACACAAAACCTCATACTACCATCTTTCTTTTTCACCAGTAATACCATAGCTCCCTAAGGCGATACGCTTGGTCTCACAAACTTCTTTTCAAATAAATACTCTAACGGCTTCTTTAACTCTGCTTTTCTTAAATATGTATATTCGTAATATGCCCTATTTCTATTTTTTTTTAAATTTAATATTAGATATATTCAGATAGACAGATCTAATATACATGCATCAGCAATGCAATAAATATAAAATTATAAAAATCTAAATATACAACTAAATATCAAATTAGCTATCCATAAATTTTAATTTTTTTCAAAAATATAAAAACAAAAAATAAATCAAATAAAATAACAAAACAAAACAATTAGAATTTTTAAAGTGGTGTCCCATAATAAATGGAAATACATCTTCGAAACAATTTACATAAGGATGAGGAAAAATTGCCTTCTCATAAAATGCAATTGCTTCTTTAAATTAAGATCATATAGAATGCCCAGTAAATGCATAGGAACAATTTACATTGAAACCATCTATAGAATCATTTTTTAGAAAAAAATAACTTAAAATTAAATTAAGTGATAAATAACCATTAATGCAAAAAAATTGCATTACAAATACATAAAATAGATGAATAATGTACATGAACCATTCAACTTTTAACAATTCAAAAGGGTAATTTTAATGGGTAGATGAGAATCTACCTAAAAATAAATAAAAAATGCAGTGATGCTAATCAGCATTAAATGGTTGGAATTGTTCGGTATTGGCTTGTTATGAATTTTTCATCCACTCTGACCACCTCCAGAAGGTTGGTAAGGACTTAGAATAAACCAAACCACAAAGTCCAAGTGAGACGAGTCTAAATAGGATGCTAACACCAAGTTCAACAAAATTATCTGTTTCAATAAACTATGAATAGGATTGATTTGTGAATAATTTAATTGTTGGAGAACAGTTACAATCAAATCGAATGCTAGCAATCAAACCTAACTGTACACGTGAAGAGACAGTGGAATTTCTGCACTAAATATTTGAAAGAAAATCAAATGACTAAGAAAATATAAATCAGCCAGACTTAGTCTCGCACTTTAAGGTCTACAACTTGATGACCCTGAATTTCGTTTGTATCCACTGCCATGCCTCGTTCTTCAAAATTGTTTAAAACATTGAAATTTTCCTCTCCCTCTCTCTCCAACTCTTGATGCTTGACAAGGTGTAAATTTGATAGGAGTAAACTTTATAGGAAGGTGCCGTGTAAAGGAAGTTAATCATGTCAGAAATCTTTGTTGTCATTACAGTCTATGGTTCTTCTGGTATGGTTGAGTGGCATGAAATTTGCAATACTGAAAATTAAAACAAGCTTTAAGGGACTCGTCCAAAATACTATCTGAGAAACAAACAAAGGCAGTGACTCAGCCATATACAATGAACAGAACCTGGTAATAGTATAGCAGAGTCCAACTTCATACTCTAGACGAGTGATTTTCTTACCTGTTATTTGGTTGAAGAAACCCGTCGTAATGAAGGCATCCAGCTGCTTGAAACATGGGGGTTAGTACCAAATACACGCCCTATGTTTGAGGTTAATGTGGACTTTTCAGGCTTGGATATATTTCGTGTAGTTGATTTTTGCAAGGCAGATGAAGTAGATGGACCATTGTTCACATTCTGCAAATAATTATTTCAATCAGTTGAATTTCTTCAGCCAAGTAAAAACTCAAGAAAATGTTTATGATCAAAGATAATGAGAGAAAAGAGGCCACTGTGTCATCAGAAGAAATTACTGTGACTTACATGTTTTTCAGTGTGATTCTTGGTATTCAGTTTCTTAACATTGGATGGCTTAGGATGCACACGCACGTTTGGGCGATCAAGATTGGTTAGCAGTTTTGTTACAGTAAATTGAGGAGAATTATTGATTCCTGAAAAGGGGGTAGATTCACAGGGATCAGGATACGATCGGTATAATGCATTATTAGTCCACTATACTGCAAACTTTTAAGTCTAGCTTAGCTCAACAATAGTACAGCAAAGCAAAACATCCAAGTGAAAAGGAATAATAGTAGGAATGATTGCAAGAAAATTAAGGATAAATATTAGAATATGTAAATATAACTAAGTTATTACTAGTATTAATTGTAAATGATTATTAGAATATGTAGATGTTTATATACTCACATTCACCCTCCCCAAATTATTCAAATATGACCAATTTCAATAAGATCACGTTGAGTATTGAAAAAATGCCCGTACAACACGTGGTCCAAACTATTTAAAATTCATGCAAGGATTTTCCAAGTGTTTGATCACATAATTCCTTCCTCACCCACTGAGCTCGAAGAAACTCCCTCTCTCAATACAACTGACCCCCAACTATGGCTTCGTCTTGAAGGTGTTTATCTGCAATGGATATATAATGGAACCATCTCTGATGATCTCCTCAACACCATCCTCAAACTCCACCTTTGAAATTGCATGAAATCGATTATTCAACATCTTTTATGACAACAAAAACCCTATTGACACTCTACCTAGAACAAGAGTTTTCGCAAACTCATATGGAACAATTTTCTGATACATCCTCCTATTGTCAACATCTACCTAGAACAAGGTCTCTCTGACGAACGTACTAATGTTTGTACTCTTGTATATAATGAATGATTGGTTCTTCAACTCATTTCAGAGCTAAGAGATGCATATGCTACGCCGTCACGGGAATTTACTACCTCAATTCTACAAGGCTCATTCCATGAACATTTTCGTATATAATGAATGATTGGTTCTTCGACTCATTTCAGAGCTAACGGATGCATATGCTACTCCGTCACGGGAATTTACTACCTCAATTCTACAAGGCTCATTCCATGAACATTTTCGAAGAAACTGTACAGCAGAAAATAGTGTCGCACTCCAACGACAATTTTGCTTCATTACGTCTCACAATGACGCATCAGTTGGTCATTCCCCATCTCGTCCTAACCGTGGTGGTAACATTAATAATCGTGGCGGCCAGAGCAATGGCCGCGGCCGTCGTGGACGAGGGAGAAGTTATGGATGTGGTGGGAGTCGTTCCCAACATCAGTAGTGGCCTTCGTCATTCTACCCACATTAGTAGCGGCTTTTGTCGTTCAACCTGCATTAGCAGTGGGCCAATCCGTACCCGAACCAGCATCAACAATGGGGCTCCCGCCACTGCAGCCATGAGCCACGCCACTTTGTCTGAATCTGATGGAAGATCACCACTCGACATTCTTGGTCCAAAGTCATATCACCAGGTTCAAGTGCAAATACAGCGCCAAAATACTCATATGATCAAATGGGCATTTAAACAGCAATGCATACCCTCACTATTTCTCCTTTTGATGATCAGTGGTACATGAACATCGAGGATGTTCCTCATATGACGGCAAACGGAGGTAATCTCAAGTCTTATTTAAATATCTTATTTCAATGTGACAATGACAGAATATGATATTCATAAATTTTGTGAACGAAATAGAATGTCCATCAAATTTTCTTGTCCTCACACATCCCCACAAAATGGAAAAGGTGAAAGAAAAATTTGTCCTATAAACAACATCATTTATACCCTTCTTGCGCATGCCTCTACCTCTGCCAATGTGACATCATGCACTAACAAATTGTCACTTACCTACATAACATTCTGTTAGACTCTTCAGTTTTGTAACTGTTATTAAATTATTAGGATTGATTAGTGGAAAATAAAATTATTATATATTATTAGGGACAATTAAATTTTATTAATGCTGTGAGTTCAGGTTTAGCATAAATAGGGGAAGACATGGGGGAGTTGATCATCTGGGGAATTAGTGAGTGGTTATTGGGAGAGACCCAACTCTCGAACATTTGGGAAGGGAGAGATCCAAGACTCTCGAATTCTTGGAAGGAACCAAACTGGTCCCTGTCATTCCGTTTGTGTTATTTCTGTTTTGTACCAATAAATATCAGAAATTGTCCCAATTTTATTTTGTAGAAAGACCCGTTTCTATCACATTCTTCCAAATAAAAAATTTCCCAACAATAACACACTAAAATACTCTACCAATAAGATTCGTCATATTCTCATCTTCGAGTCTTTGGGTGTCTTTATTACCCTCTCATTCATTCCACTTCACACACACACACACACACCAATGAATGAAAAGGCATCGCCAAAATTTATCTTTAGAAATATTCTTCAATCTTTACTTGACATGACAAATATCTTAATCTTAGTACATCAGGACTCTTAAGCTACTATATGATGGTTCCGAAACAACAAAGTTCCATGAGAACTAACCAACACATAAATCACTATTTCCTTTTTCCCATTTCCAATGAGCAAAAAATGTCACTTCAAATTATAATTCATTCTACCAGAATAAAAATTGCATCTACAAATCACTTCAATATATGTTACGTAGGAAAATCTCCCACAATGAATCAGAATTCCTTCAAGTGTCAATCACATATGGCACAAACATAGGAGACTAAAGTTACCTGTACGCTTTTCCACAGCCAATGGTTCAAGACTGCTAGGAACAGCACTAGGCACAGCATCTGAAGGCTGCACAAATGGTCATTGAGTCAAAATGAGAAAGAGAATAAAACAGGAAATTTTTTAATAATGAGGATTCGAGCTATCAGAAAATACATATGCATTCCAGTAATAGCAAGCTAAACCATAATTAAATAAATATATTTGAAGGTTCAAAATAAAATACTAACAGATGATTGATTCGGTCTCCTTGTCTGTTGCACCTGCTGATTTCTTAGGATGGTCCAGTCGAATAAATTGTCATACTCATATCCTGCTCGTTAAATAAAGCCAAACAAGCTTCTTATGACATCAGGAGAGAAGACAAATACAACACATAAGACCACCAGAAACAACTTTGAAACACTAAGATTGGTAGTACGTGATAGTTACATATCTTAATTCTCAACAAAGAATTTGCAAAACTTGAAAACATGAATTTATTCTTATGGAGAAGATATGTTGAATACATGACAGCATTCATTTATAACACCTCCAACAGTCAACAGGCTAAAGCAATCAACCAATAAGCAAACTATCATCAACAATGTGATATATGTCCAATTGAGAGCAATCATTTAAGATCAAATGTAAGATTAAAAAAAATAAGTCAATACCTTCACAGGTGAACAAATCACGAAACAAACGCCTTAAGTATCCATAATCTGGATCTTGATCAAATGTTAAAGAGCGACAATAATGGAAGTAAGAAGCGAACTCCACAGGATATGATTCGCAAAGCGTCTAGAACAAGAAATATGGATTCATTAAACTTCTGAGTAACAAAAAAAATCAATAAGAACACCTCTTAAGAGAGGATTAACTAAAATTTGATTAATCCAATAATAGCAATCCTTAAATGCTCTACTTTTCTGTGCATAATTCATCACCAAAACCTAATCCAGTTTTATTGTAGGCCAAAGTATGAGGGCGAGAAGAAAAGAAAATTAAAAACTAAATTAGGGGCTAGGGGTTTAGTCATTTTATAGAATTGAAAAGTTATACCTCAATGGGAGTTGATAACTTCTTCTCCCGAATCTTGTCATATTTTTCCTCTTTGGTGATAGCTTTCAATCCCTGCCAAGGAAGGCTAAAATGCAAGAACAGTAGAAAAGTATGAGCAATCGATAGTCATGCACCATTTCTTAAAATTCAAGATGCTAAGTAAATTACAGTGAATAGGAAGAAACATACCTTCCTCTTAAGAAGTACATAAGAACATAACCAATAGACTCCAAATCATCACGGCGACTTTGCTCTGACGAAATTAACCCAAAATAGAGTCAAAGTTGTAGGTTACAAGCCGTAACTGTAAAGAAGGAGATTTATTTCAACGTACCAATTCCTAAGTGAGTATTGCAACTTGCATATCGTGCAGTCCCTGTTAAATTTTTCTTCTCTCTGTATAAGTTTATCAAGGTCAAACCATTAGGCAATGATAACCTTGCTAGTTAAACTGGCAAAGCAAAAGTAACAGTGAGAATGAAACAATCAAAAGAGTTCGGAAAAGGAATTGAATGAGATTACACAGATTACAAGTTGGAAAATTTTCCATAGGAAAATAGGCAATGGTCGCACCATTTACAGAACTGTTTGATAATTAGAAGATTTGGACTAACAAAAACTTGATGGAAGGCGTCTATTAAATGTTATCAGATAATCAACTTAACTTCAGTTTGATATAATCTTCCTGCTTTTTACTGGATACATGATATTAAAATACAATCTGGTTTCATTTGGCCAAACTTCTACAACTTTTGTAAGGTGTTGAAAGGAAGAAAAAAAGAAGAAACTGTATCACTTAGTAAACCTTATTGTGAAAACAAATTTTGTTTTTCAAAAGACTTATAACCTTCAGCATAAACATTTCTCATCTCATCATAAATTGTTACTAAAAAATCAATAAGAAATCATCTTGTCAAATAGAAAAGTAATCATATCAAATATATATATCACACAAGAAAACCTTAGAACACAGGCCAGACATGTAAAATAATCATCCAGAATAGAAGAATAAAAAATATAATTAAAATTAAACAGAACAAAATATACCTGTAAGCAATATGCTTCTTTGTTTTGGGGTCCTGATATCTTTTTGCTAGTCCGAAATCAATAATATAAACCTATGATTGTACAAAATTGTAAAAAGAAAACGTAAGAAAGAGGAAGTGTAAAAGGAATAATGGGACACGAAAATTATCAACATAAGTCAGCCACTGAAGATGATGAATTTGGATGACTTTACCTGATTTGATTTTCTCCTAATACCCATTAGGAAGTTATCCGGTTTGATGTCTCTATGTAAGAATCCCTTGGAATGCACATATTCTATTCTCGAAAGCTGTAGTCAAGTAAATGAAACAAAAATAACTTTACATTAATGAGCTTTCGTTGAAAACCCATGTGGATGAGCATTGACTACAAGAGGCAACTTCTAGATATTAAACTGCTACTACATTGATATGCAACGAACAAACATAGTAGTTATTTTGCAAAGCCCTATTTAAAACCAGCAAGTAACAAATGCAGCCTCATGAAAACCAAAGGAAACAATCCAGACATGAGTCGTTCATTACCATCTGATCGGCTAACATCAAAACTGCTTTTAAAGAAAGTTTGTTCCCACAGAATACAAAAAGGTCTTCCAGACTACGCCCGAGAAGATCCATAACCAGAACATTATGGTCTCCATCAGTGCCACACCATTTCATATTTGGAATACCACCTAAAATCCAGAATGTAAGAAGGATCAGAAAAAGGAAAAAAAAATAACATAACCTTCTTCAAATATCGTAACTTCACCTAAAATACCAAAATTCTTGTTTTATAACTTACTTTCTCCTTGAAGAATACTGTATAATTTGGCCTCTTGCAATAGTTGTGGATGCCTTGTATTCTTCTTTTCCTACAAAATAGGATGCAACTCCTATGAATCAGCATAAGGCCTTGTACATAGCTCTTGAACAATATAGAATGCAAACGAATGTCAAAAATTAAAAATTGACCAAAATTTTTACTTATAGTAATCTAATCACTTTACGCAAATCAAAAAACAAAACCTATCCCTAATTCCAATGTATCAAACCACATAGATCCAACTACATACTATTGATGTTATCAAGAAAAAAAAAATCATATATTCCTTAGATTACCAAAGAATCAATCAACTAAAGCAATGAGTTATCATGACTCTAAAGTAAAGGTAAGCAACAAAAATTTATGTAAACTCACAAGTTCCTAAAAAATTCTTAAAAAATGAAAAATAAATTAAAATTTAAAATTCAAAGTAAGTGAAATTCGAATGATGAAATCAAACCAGTTTAACAGCTACGATCTCAGAGTTATCCATATCCGAAGCTGGAAAAAAAAAAGCAAAAACAAAAAATAAATCAGCAAAAGCATAACCAGAATAAATATATTCATAAAACAATACATATAAACAAATTACGAATAAATAAAGAGATGAAAAAGTTCATTACCGATAAAAATTTCCCCAAACGAACCACTTCCGATTTTGCGACCGATCTTAAACTTGCCGCCGACAACCCACTCCATGATGAACAGGCCGGCGAACCTTATCCGATGACGATAAGAAACGAGAACGACGATTGTAACACGATTTAACGATTTCGTCGACGGAAAAAGTTGTTACCGGCGATGAACGGAAAAGAGGAAGAAAAAGAGGGTTTGGTGAACAATAGATAAAGAGAGAAGAACAGAGAAATTGAAAATGGATTGAACAGAATAAAGAGAAGAAGAAGAAAAAAGGTAAGGGTAATTTAGGAAATATATAAATTATCGTTTTCGAAAGTTGGTTGGTGATTATCTGTACGAGCTAGCACTCAACATTATTCTTGTTATAGTACCTTACTCGTTTCCGAGTAAATTACTATTTGGTCCACGTGGGAATTGAAAAACACGGTTTTCTAACTTTTTCTTGCAGAAGAAACTGTTTTTGTTTTTTAGTACGAAGTAAATAAATTTGAATGGATAAAGATAATCTGACTCCGCAGGATTAGATAATAATTAAATTTATTTCCGCGTGGATAAATAAATAACTGCGGATAAATTAGCGATGAAATTTTTTTAGATTCGGATCGGTTGGAATTATTCTGCACTTTGTCAAATGGGTATTTTTTGTTTTGGATAAAATACAGCTGCCACGTTTTTGTTTCGGAAGGGAATTGAATTGGATAAGGTTGTCGGTCATTGACCTCCGACGTACTCCGGGTAAATGCTACAAATATCTTAATTTGTTTTGGCAAGTTCTTAAATTATTTCAATGCACCACACGAAATTTCATAAATATTTTTCATAATCGACAATATTTTTTTTTATTTTCAGTGTGTTATACATAAATTATATTGGAAGAGTTAGGTGTAAATTGAAAGTATATTTATGGTTTACAATCGGAAATATATCTTTGATTTCTGGTGGAACTATATGACGCGCCGTCTTTTTCCCTCTCATTACAATAACTCATTCAAAACAAAACACAAAATTTTCTCAAACTCTCTCAAACCTTTATTTCATAAATCAAATATTTTGTCACAAAATCATCAAAAATCATCAAGCAGTGGTTAAATAAAGCATTCTAATACAATCAATCAAGAAAAATCAACACCAATCAATCAGGTATATTGTTTTTGAAAATTTGAATTTATGTAATTTTTACTCAAATTAGTGAATTAGGGTTCAAACTGTGATATTGTAGCTAGTTATCATCATTATGAGTCATTAGAAAAATATTTCTAAAATTTATTTGATGATCAATACCTTTATTTGAGCTCATTTGGGGGACTGGGACACCAAATGAGCGTTATTCTGTTATCACAAAAGGAATGAGAATTAAACTTCCAGTTTTTGTAAGAACAAAATCGCAAGTATAGTTTTGGTTTCTGTCTGTGTATTTTAAGCCTTGTTTTACATACTTGATCTTATGTTAATATTTCTTTCTTACTTCTACAAGAGCAATGAGTGAAAGACCATCTCGATTGAGGCTCGACAGGGTTGCACATCATGCTTCTGTGTAGAGAGAAAGGAGTCATGCAACCCAGCCTCATCTTGCCTCTGGACAGGCTATACCGGATGCACCTCCTACTTCTTCAGCCTTTGGTGTGCCTGCTTTTACTCCTTCTACGTCGTCCTCCCGCAGAATACGGATTCTCCAGTTCATCTTTCTCCACCTCCGTCCTCCCCAGACGCACTTCCTCGCCTAGCGTATTTGAGGCGGGATCCACATCTGGTACCCAGGCGACACCTGAGGCTCAGGCATCATCACAGCCTCAGTCCCAGACACCACCTAAGATGGTTCCTAAGTCATCTCAGGCACCTGAGGCTACACCAGCGGCACCTGAGGCTACACTAGCGGCACCTGGGCTGCAATAGCTCAGCCTACACCTGCGGCTCCTCAAGCTTTTGGAGAAGGACCGTCTGATTTATCACTTCTACCTCTTTATCCCAACCATGTTGCTAGACATATCTAGGATGGACAGGTATGAATTTTATATTTTTATTTCTATTATGAATTTTATTGTGAATTTTATTATGAATTTTGACTTAAATTTTATTATGCAGGAACGTGATGCGCTCAATGTCATTAGCCATGGGAAGAAGATCAGTAGACTTGTGTCGCCCACTGAGCCATGATTTGACGAGCTTTCACAGCTTATAGGGTTGAAAGATTTGGCCATGTGTGGATACATCGTGGTCAACTGGGGTATGATCAACACTTTTATTGAGAGGTGGCACCATGAGATGTCGCCGTTCCATCTATTATATGGTGATATGACGATCACACTCGATGACATCGTGTGTCTGCTTTATCTTCCTATTATAGGGACTTTCTTGGATCATGATAGGATCAGTAAAGAGGAGGCGTTGGATTTGTTGGTTCAGAAGTTGGGAGTTATCCTTGAGAGTGGCCTGTGAGAGATTGATTAGACCAGTGGTTGCCATGTCAAGTATAGCTATTTGGCTAGGGTGGCCGCGGTGGAGATTAGGCGTGCACGAGAGGCTCATGGTGATCCCGAGCAGGTTACCATTCACAGGGGGTTCGCCATGAGAGTATACCTTTTGTATCTTGTTGGTACATATATTTTTGTGGACACCAGTTCCATTTACACTAATATCATGTATTTGTGCTACTTTGATGATTTTGAGATGATCAACCAGTGGAATTGGGGGGCTGCTTACTTGGTTTACTTGTATACCAAGTTGGATGACGCCATTAATTGGGATACGAAGCAGATGACCAGTAACATGTCACTCACGACGGTATAAATTCTTTGTCTTTGTGGCTTTTGTTAATTATTTTGATTCTGAAACTAACTATTTAATTTTGTTATATCAGGGATAGATCTTACAGCACTTCCCGCATCTCGGGTTAGTCATATGTTACAAGTTATATTGAAGATAAGTCGTGTGCCTGTGTAAACGACCCACTTCGAGGGAACCAGGTGATAAAGTTGTTTCGAGTTTACATTGATCAGCTGGTGCATGAGGACATTCACTTCAGTTCATACGTCGACCACCGTGTCACGATACCGTTTGATGAGATTGCGTTGTTAACAGGTTGGTTAGTTTGCAGGATTCGTAAGATTGTTGCTTATATGCCTGAGCGGATGATGCGTCAGTTTGGATTTACCCAGACCATTCCCCGGGATCCTGTTGTATGTGCTCTTTTGACTGTGAAACAAATGGATATGGATGTTATGTTTGATGATTTTGAGAATTATCTTGTTCCTGATGAGGCTAGGAGTATCATAGCATCAGACGGCTAAAGTTACGAGTACGAATACATGATATGGTTCTTCAAGGTGTCTCATCCGTACATGGTAGAGGATGCTCCAGGGAACCCACCGAGGCTATTTCATCAAGAGATCCTAGATGAGGAGGAGGAGGCTAGGATGGATCATGCTCATGACGTGTTGCCTAGGTGTTGTCGTATCATAGAGCTTATGCGGGATGATATTGACAGAGGGTTGTTTCCTGATGGATCCGATGTTAAAGGTGTTTTGGATGCAATCTAGACGGAGACTCAGGAGGCCACGTGTTATAAGAGGCAGCGGAGGGATGCCTCGAGGGTGACAGACAGACTCATTATCTGCCATACTCAGTAGTTTATGTTGATGCATTTGTATTTTGGTTTTAATTTTTTTGTATCGTATTTGTACTTGAATTACATTTTAGGGATGTGCACGACTCTATCACAATATATATATATATATATATATATATATATATATATATATATATATATATATATATATATATATATATATATATATATATATATATGTGTGTGTGTGTGTGTGTGTATGTGTGTGTGTGCGTGCGTGCGTGCGTGTGTGTGTTTTGTTTCATTTGTGATGTGTATGATTTGTACAAATTTTAATTTGTGATGCGAAAAACGAGATATATATTTCCTTGCAAGCCTAATTTTTCTGATTTGTCTGCTACTAGCAGCATCAGAATCAGAAATATATTGTTGATTTAAAACCAGAAATATACTTCTGATTTTAAGTAAAAAAAAATTTAAAAAAATGCACCAAAAATATACTTCTGATTTTAAGTCAAATTTTTTTTAAAAAATGCACCAAAAGTATACTTCCAATTTTATAGAAACATTATAGAAATTATATAAAATTTAATTTTTCCACATATAGTGGGGTAAGAAATCCTCTTTATTTTTCTTTTACGGGTGAATAGTTTTTATGTAAATTAATTATTTTTCAGAGAATCATTAAAAATGAACTTTAAAAAACTAAGTTATACAAAATCTTGTACCAAAAAAAATTTATATATAATTAAATGAAATATATGTAACTTCAAATTAAAGAGATCAAATTATATTCATAAATTAAACTAATTATATTATTTAATTATTAATCTATTTAATATAAATTTAAAATTGTAGTGATGACAATCTTAGACATTGGTCAATTTAATAATTACTCTAAACCAATTTTAAACACATGTCATTCTATGAGCTAATTTAACATTAATCTATTTCTAACTCTTCAAATTTAAAAAAATAGAAATTAACATTCATCCTATTTCAATTTTTTTAAAATTGATCAATTAATAATAATTATATAATATTTAACTATTACTATTAAAAATAATATTTTTTATATAAATAATTAACTATTACATATATTATATTATTTTATAAATCTAAATTTAAACAAAGATTTTCAAATATTTTAATATTTACACATTAACAAAGCATATACGTTAAATCTATTTATCTCTTTTTTTTTTACAAGGTCTATTTATCTCATTTTAAATAATTGAAAATTCTATAAATGATTAAAATAATAACTCATATTAATAATAATTATTTAGTTTCTAAATATTTTTAAAAACAAGTATTATGAGTTTAAATTTTTTTTATAACTAATTATCTTATTTAATGTGTATATTTTAAAATCAATACACATCTTTTGAAACTTTAATATTAATTTTCTAAAACTTAAAGAAATTAATTTATATATATAACAAATGTAATTTTTATTATAATTCAATTTTTTGAATATTGTAACGCAATAACT